ATTTGGAAAATAAGACGTTCATAAAAAATCCTCTCTCAGAGGCAGTAAAATACTATAAGATTCAAATAAGTATTCCTAAAGAGCTCAAACTAAAAGTTTAATGGGATGATAGGGGTCAAACGATGAGCAAGTGAGAGCCCAGTACGACCTGAAGGGGGCAGCAGAGAGCCAGTGGCTCCTTTTTCCTGATGGTTTGGTGGGAGTAGACCACACAGAAATGCCCACTCACACACACACATTTCTATCGTAATGAGACGGTTAGGTGATACCCTGACTTGGATTCGCCCTGAACACGACTGGACCACGAGAATCCGCCCAAAACCCCCTTTCTGCCCCCAGAGCAGCCCTGGGTGGGAACGGGACCAGCGGACGCGTCTTCAGAGTTAATCCCGCACAGGCCTGTTGTGTAATGTCTTTATATTTTTCTGGTTTAGCAGAGCTTAAAGAGTCCACGGGGAGAAGGTGCTGGTGTTTGGACATCTCTGTCCAGCTCTCAAAAACGGGAAAAGAAGCCGATTTGGTCGATTCATCTCATAGTTTCAGGCTGATTTGAAACTATGAAATCTCACTGGCTATGAGATTTGAATTGGCTCCTCTCTTTATGCATCACAATTATTAACATTATCCATTAATTTCTAAGAGAAATCAGTATACTTTTATCCCCATTTAGTAATTTTCCAAATGATAAACGTGGCTTTATCTAATCTGTTTGTTCCTGACACTCTTTAATCCTGAGAATGAACGTCATCTCTTTTAGACACCCTGAAAACACACTAATCTACACCAGAACAGCCTCTGGATGCGCGAGCTCTGATTTGAAATGATCTAGGAGTGTTTGGTCCCTGCAGAGCTGATGGAAAAAGGTCTTTTCTGCACTGCTCTAAAGAATCTACCACCTTAAAGAGGGACTATGAAGCAGGAATCTCTTTTCTGGTCAGAATATAATCAGCGTCTTTGAACCGTTTGACAAAGGAAAGGGGAAAATATTTGCCCGGGAGCGGCTTGATTAGCATCTCAGTTTAACAGGACACAGGCAGAGTTTGTAGTTTTAACTAAAGAGGCAAAATTATTCAATTGGAGCCTAATGCTGGACCTCGCTGATGCCTGCACAGAAATGGGATTTTTCACATCTTTTAGCAAAATAACGAAGCTATTCTGACAGTTGGATTTTGTTTTGACGGACATTATGAGAAGAAGTTTTACTGGTAATTTCTTTTTAACCCTTTAGATTTTATAAATGGGCAAAATATTGTTTATAAGCTGTCAAAAAATGTTTTTTTTTGTTGTTTAATGTAATTTCTACCTGAGCTGAGGTGAGCAGCTGCAGTTAAATGTAACTCTGCTGCCCAGAAAGAAGAAAAGGTCGATAAATATAAAATCTTACCGTACATGAGGACAGCTCCTACAGCTCACATCCACCCTGTGTGTCCATCACACACTCGTTTGTGGTTAATCCCCCCCCCATACACGCACAGACGAGGCCCCGCCCTCTTTCATTCATCCCCGTAAACATCCCAGGACCGGGCTGCTTTTTCCTCCCCACCTCTGGTCATAGTTCCAGCCCTGAGGTTTCACATCTAACCCGTTTGGTAATGAGTTTGTTCCAACACGGTGTGGTGGTAGTCCTCTCTCTGGGTCTTAGGGCTGAGGGACCTTTCGGTGTGAGTGTGTGTTTGTGTGATCCGGGCCATGTGCCGCAGCTCAGCGCTCCATAATCTGCTCTGGATTTATTCATCGTTCCAGCTGAAACAACGGGAATACGGCAGAAATCTGCAGAGCAGGAGCTGGAATGGAGGACGGCTCTGGCAGCCTCTTCTGGGCCTCAAAAGGTGCCCGAGAGGGGGAAAACCAGACCCTGGATCTGCTGTTTCTCTGATTAATGGGGGCTTCTGGATGCCAGGCCATCCTTCATACTGCAAATTCAATTGATTTGGAACAAAATGTTCTAAAAATATTCTAAAAAAAGCACATATTTTGAATCTGACATGAGATTATGAGACTGGATTGAGATTACGTGGAAACCACTGAACAGGTTTTCGGGACATTTTGCCACAGATCAGGATAATCTTTGATTAGACTTCTGCATGGGCAGGAAAACAACAGGTTTGTTTTAATTCCCTGTTTGGAGCCGTTCTTCCTCCAGAAAGCAGCAAACACTGGAAGCATCCTTAAACAGTGAGAGTCACTGGACTTTAAAACATGAGACTTAAAGGCTCCTGACAAACTAACAGTCCCGGGCCACAAAGAATCAGGACGGATTTCAGCCTCTGGTGTCTGAGAACATGTTCACACACATATTTTAGAGCAGAATGATGATTTGGGAAGTGTCGGAATATCTCAGAGGAATCAGAATTTTTGCTTTTTCTAGAAAATGATTGTTAGAAGAGTGAACTTTCCCATGAAGACTCTGTCTGGTACTCACACAAAAAAAGAGCGAAAGCAGACTATCTTCCACTAAATTCTTGACCTTCTCACTAAGTCCTGCTACTTCTGTAAAAAGGTCAGAGTTCCTCTCTGTCTAACTGCCCCCCCCATCTGTCCCCAGAGGGTCCTACAGGCTGGTATCTGTTACCTCCGGCTGTCTGGTGGTCAAACACAGAGCAGCAGTCCTGCAACAGTCGGCGAGGAGCCTCCGGTACGGTCGGCATGGCGACGCCCCTGGGGAAGCTGGGCATGGTGACCCCCCTGGGCAGGCTGGGCATGGTGACCCCCCTGGGGAGGCTGGGCATGGTGACCCCCCTGGGGAGGCTGGGCATGGTGACCCCCCTGGGGAGGCTGGGCATGGTGACCCCCCTGGGCAGGCTGGGGAAAGTGGGCATGGTGACCCCCCTGGGCAGGCTGGGGAAAGTGGGCATGGTGACCCCCCTGGGCAGGCTGGGGAAGCTGGGGACCGCCCCGGGCATCTCTGGGAAATAGAGAAGAGCTCCTGAGGAACCGAGAGCCAGAAGACCGAGTGACGGAAAAGAACAGAACGATTAAAATGAACCCCCCTCCCCCCCCAAACACATTCTTCTGAACATTAACCCCCACAGCTCAGCTCAGCTCTGAACTGAGCCGGTCAATAGTTTATTTAGAGCAGCAGCACCATCATAAAAGCACGGTCCGCTTTAATGATGTCGCTTTTATTCATGTGATTCATTTATAAATCACAAATATGTTGGATACTTTTTAAAAACAACTTACTTTCCATGGGAACTTAAAGTTGCTTTTGGTTTTCAATCATTTATAGATGACAGCTTTGTGTGTTTGTGTGCATAAAATTCACAGGGACCAGCTTTTGTTCTTTTAAGCGTAGAATAAATACCAACAATAGGATAAAAGAGCTTATCTTAACTCAGTTACCTTTTTAGTGCGCTCTCGTTGCACAGAGATGAGACCCAATCTGCACGGAAACAAGAAAATCCGGTCAGTTTTAATCTATTTTCAATAACTCAGATGCTGTTTTACTGTAACTTTAGATTAAAAAGCAGAAACTGCACAGAAGTAAAAAAGAGAACAAAATATTGGCATGACATAACATTTAAAAATAAAACATCTTCATAAGAACACATTAACAGAATAATTATAAGAAACAGATAAAAGAATAAAAAAGATTTAACATCTTTAACATGTTTCCAGTTCTGCTGCGTTCACAGGTTCCCTTCACATGCACGTGTGCACGTGTGCACGTCTGTGCAGCAGTTTCGGATAAAAGTGCCCCATGAGGAGCAGAAACAGCCTCAGAGCTCCTACCTGCTGGCCTCCAGTGCTGCTCTCCTGCAGCCCACAGAGCAACAGCTGCTTATGTAACATCTGCCCAGCCTGCTGACCACTGGCTCTCATCACGATCACCGATCAATAGGGGCGATCGATCCCTGATCTGCTCCGGGACATCAGCACGTGTTCGGAAACCTGCTTCATGGGAGCCTGGATGTTTGGGATCAGCTGCAGTTGGAGTTTGATGCCTGAGAGGCTGCAGACCTCCTTTAAACAGGCTATTGGAAGAGGAGGAGCGCCCTCTGCTGTATGACGGACAGCATTACACCCCGCCTGCTTTAAAACTCAGTTAAAAAGAAACATTTACTCAGAAAAATACATTTAATTCAGCTTAAATCCAAGCAAAACATACAATGAAGAGTACAGTGTGTGGCACTATGTGAGATCTATATAACACACACCAGGAGAATTATTACATCACATAAATTGAGAAAACATCCAGTTAGGTTCTTCTTATGGAACAGCTGGACCGTAAAAAGGCCATTTCTGTGGTCAGAAGTAGTCCCAGAGATGTAAAGTTTGTGAGTGAGTGTGCCCCCTGCCACCTGATGAATGGGATCCAGATGTGCTCCCCTGGGTCCGTCCACAGGTTTCCAGATGTGTCAGAGATCAGTTTCCGGGTGGAAACCAGCTGTTCCAAACTCTTTACAAACCCTGAACCGCTCCTGGGGTCAAAGTTTAAGGGCTCTTCCGGTTGCCGCCGTTCCTCCGATGAACAGCCCTCTGAGCTCCGCCTCTAACTCCGCCTCCAGGTGGGCGTGGCCCGCCGTGGCGCCCTCCTCCGCCCCCCCGAGCCCCGCCCACCAGGGCCGGCGGGTGAGCTGTAGGGCGCCGTTGTGGGCGTGGCGCCCCCGGGCGGCCACGGAGCCCGCCGGGCTCAGGAACGCCGCCGCGCACGCCGGCGGGACGGCCGAAAGGGGCGGGGCTTCTGTGGGAACAATATGGCCGTCTCTGAGTAACGGGGACCAGCAGGATGCTCCCCGTGTTCCTACTATTACAGTAACAGACTCTGTTCATAGTGTTATTATTACTGATATCATTATCATTAAGATCAATATCTGAACCATTTTTCATCCAGTCTGTGTTACTGTGTAGGCTGACTCTCTCTCCCTCTCTCTCTCTCTCTCTCTGTCTCTCTCTCTCTCTCTCTCTGTTTTTCTCTCTCTCTCTCTGCCCTCTCTCTCTCTCTCTCTCTCTCTCTCTCTCTCTCTCTCT